TTTAAGTGGGAATTGTGGGTGGTAGCTTTTTGTGGGCTTTTTTCTTCTATTTTTTTTTTTTGTTTGTTTGATGATGGCCCAACAGGCAGCACCGAAAGCGTATTCTTTTGTCCTCCCTCTCTCTCCCTCTCTAGAATTTTCTATAGCTGCCAGAGAGCCTTTCCTTCCACCAAAAATATATAATATATCGTAGTTCTTTCTCGAAAGTTTTCTCCTTCCTTTGGATACTTTTTCTTATGAAATAAATGATGAAATGCTGTAATTGATGGCTGAAATGTCTTCAGGGAAACAAGCAACAATTAGCTTCGATTTAGGGATTCGAAAATAATAACAATAATAAGAAACGGACAAGGATCCCTCAGGGATGAAGTGAAAGAGTGATACGTTGGAGCACAAGCTACAAGATATCCTTTGTATCCTTGGGAGAGTTGGAAGTGCATAGATCCACAGATAGAAAACTTTAGAAGTTTTCTGAATGGGATAGATCTTTAGGTGTCTTTCAGCTGCAAATGCCTATTGAATACTAGTATCTTTCAATTGGTAATGGATTGCATGTATCTTTAAGATAAACATGCGAGTATGGAACAAAAGTATCGTCTTTCCTCATACAGATGCAGGGCTTTCAGATGCGAATGGACACCTCCCGCGCCTCTGGAACTTTAGTTGAACTTTGAAATTTCGTAGGATCTATATTGCCTTGAGAAATGCGAAACTTTTTCAATATACCAATACCCTATGCATATTCCTTGTTGCCTTTTTGTGGTGCAAACAACCAACCCCTCTATCCCTCTACCTTTCTCTCTTGCTCTTTCTCTGCTTAAAGTTGCAACTTCTGTGGTGTTTTTTTTTTTTTGGTGGTATTTTGTATTGTTGCTGCTGTTGCAGCGTCGCGTCGTAGCTGACGTTGGGAAAACTCATTACGATGCCGCATGAGTGACATTTCCACGCTGTCAACATGACACATTTCATAGAAAGATATACACTTCCCTTCCGCCCACCGACCACCGCCCAGAGGCACACGACGACGACTGTGTGCGTGTGTGTGTGCGTGTGTGTGTGTGTGTCTGTGTGTGTGGCACATGCAACCGCATTCCCTGACATGCAAGCCGCACAGTGGCTTAATGCCACCCCCCTACGCCCTCCGCCCTGCGCACTACAGAGAGCCCTTCGACCCACTCATTCCTTGGGGCTCATCATCAGGGAATTACAACGCATTTCTTCACTTTCGCATCGCTGGCTTCTAAGCAGCTTATTATTGGTGTGTGTTTTTCGTGATGTCTTTTGTTTTGTTTTGTTTGGTTTTTTTTTTGCTTTGTGCGAAAATTGAATTTTCTTTTAGGTCTCTCCCACACTCCACACACCATCCACTCCGCCCCGCTGTGCGTGTCAGAATGCATCGCTACGTCCGTTGCCGTCTAATGGCAACGCATGTCAACATTTGCTGAGCTTTTGTGTTTAAATATTACTAATACGACATGTTGTCGTGCCACATGATGGGTTGCCAGAGGAGGATGAGGAGAAGCGGGGGCTTGAGTGGTGATTGTGGGGCGTGTGTGAACGCACAACTCCCCCTATTACGGGCGGGGGCTCCTAATTGAATTATGTTCTGTGAATGTTTTGCGATGATTAAAAAAAGGAAAAGCCAACAAGAAAGGAGAGTTCACGATGGATGCGATACCCTTTCCAAGGCATCGATTGTTGGGGTTTGCATGGAGAACAAATAAAGTAAGAAAGAGATTAGAAACAATGAAGAACGAACCTTTAGAAGAGTGAAAGTTGATGAAAAACAGATCGAAGCTATGGAAAATATCAGGAAATATTCAGAGAAGTACTCGCGGAAGGTAAACCAGAGTCCTTAAAATCAGAACTGTCCTTGTGTCTGGCTCACTATCGCTTCCAGCACAACTGTACCTTCACTCCAGGAGAACTAAATGATTGGAACGATGGAATGAAACGATAGGCAACAATTATCCCTCTATCCACGCGAAAAAAGGCATGCCAAACCACACAAAAAACAGGGTATTTTCGCATAAATGTCAGAGACCTGGAAGTTGAGAGTACTTTTTCCTGAATTAAGTTGTCAGCGAAGCGGCGACAGGTCGGTCGCAGGTCGCTTGGGTCAGGGTCAGATATTAGAGGGGAGGAAACGAAACGAAACGGAACGGAACAGAACGCACGCGATGGATGGAAATCGAAATGGAAATGGAAAGAGGGGTAGTGGTAGGGGTAGGGGGAGAGGGAGAGGGAGAGGAAAACTGCTGGCGCGGGATATGCAATTACAGATGCAGTCATAATACATTCGAGTTTTCCTTGAGGGCGGGGGAAAAACTTTTGAATTGTTGTCGCGAGTCAAGAGTTCGATGGGGCCAATGGGGCGGGACGGCGGGGACGGGAGGATGGGAGGATGTGGCAGTGCCACCTGCTGTGCAGAATGAAATTTACAATGAATTCGAATGGAAAAGTTTAATTGAAAGCTAGCCAAAAAAATACCAGAGCGAGAGAGAGAGAGAGAGAGAGAGAGACAGAGAGAACTAGATTAAGTCGGAGGCTGAATCCTGGCGGCAGATGCTAACTGAAAAGATAGTTGCAGGAAGAAAAGAAAAGCCGATGAAAATGAAACGAAATGAGAGGCAGAAAGAAGAAAAGCTGCTGCTTCTGCTGCCGCTGCTGTTGCACAAAAGATGTGTTGTTTGCTCTGCAGTTAAATTAAATGAAAAAGTTTACAACTTTTTTAATGAAATCATTTTCCATGCAGTACTACAGAGAGGCATAAACAAAACGGCCCAAAACCCGAACCCAAACCCAAACCCGAGCTCGAGCTCGAGCCCGAACCCTAGCCCCATCCTGTCCCCTGATAGGGCGAGGAGGTTGCATGCAACAAAAGAAAACAAAACTCTGCAGAAAAGAACAGAAGAATGGGCGCAAAAAGTTGCATGCAACAGAAGGAAGCGAAAGAAGGAAGTGTGTGTGTGGAGAAGGATATGCCTTGTGTTTATTCTTAAGTTTTTTGTCTTTTATTTGATTTTCCAAAGGGAGAGAGATGTGCCTCCGCTTTTCTTTAAGCGTTTAATGTGTCGTATGCGTAATCGGAGCTGGTATCGAGGGAAAGCGAATCGAAGGGGCATTCAAGTGTGCGAGAAGGGACAGGGGGCAGGGGGCAGGGGCCTCCAGGAGCATCAGCCAAAGGCTAATGATGCTCATCCACTTGGCATACTCTCGAAACCCATGGATGTCCTTGGCCAACAAGAGTCGACAAGGGTCGGGAATGTGTGTCATGGCACAGCCACACAAACGCACACAAGCACACGCACACATGTCTGTGTGTCCCTATCTCTGGATGTGTGTGTGTGTGTGTGTGTGGATTAGCTAATCCAACTGTCACTTTCAGGGACGCAGCCCGCGCGATAGAGAGAGAGAGAGAGCAAATGGCTGCGGGAATTATGCCAAAAATAAAACGAAAACCATAACCGAAAACCCCCCGGAAAAACCAGGAAGGTTAACCAACAAAACACACAAACAGGCAGCAGTCAGCAGGTCCCCCAAGGCATCTCCAGAAAGAAGGGTTCTCCGAACAATTAAAGCTTTAAGTCGGAAATCGGCATCAAGAGCATAAACTCTTTTGTACCAATTAATAATTTCCCGGAATGCGATGGGATCTCGCGCTAACGCGATGGCTAACAGATTTCCACGAAATGCATCGAATGTCAGCGAAGGGGGAGGATGGCTTTCCCCCCTTTGAAACCGTGGGACACCGATTCTACAGAAAAGCAACGATTGAGCTATGTTTTTCTTTGCACTTCCATGGAACTGGAGCTCAGAATGAAATCAATCCTCCATTGGGAGCTTAATATGACACCTGCCTGCCCCTTTGATCCATGAGGGGGAAATAATTGTTTCCCAGTACTTCTATAAATAAATATTCCCTGATTCCCTATACCTTGAAATGTATCTTTTGGATACAACTGTCTTTTGATACGTTGTAAATCCAGGGATCGTATTCCACTAAAATCTTTACCAAAAGTATTCCTCCGATATACTCGTGTGTAAATTCACATCTTTTGCCCCCTTTTTCCCAGCCATTTTCTCTATTCCTTAATGCACGCATTTCCGTTTCCTATTTTCGTTTTTTTTTTTCTTTCTTTCTTTTTTTCCGAATCTTTCTTTTTCCATCATGAATTTTTATGTTTTATTGCAGCTGTTGCTGCTGTCAACACCCAGTGCTGCTCCAACTACTCCTCCCCTTTTATTTTTTGTACTTTTTGCCCCATGACAGCCTCCTCCTGCCACCTCTGCCGTTTTTCCGTGACAGCTTTTAGCTCCACCTCCTCCTTCCGCCCTGCTCCTGCCCTGCTGCTTCTCCTGCTGCCACTGCTATTTTCACGCTTTTATTGGCACTGTGATTTCTGGTGACTGAATCCCAGCGGAGGATTACGCTTCAAGGCGCACATAACTCTCTGATGCTCGCATCGCATTAATCATTGAGAAAAAGAGTGAGAGAGAGAGAGAGAGAGAGAGAGAGAAAATGCAGTTTAATTTGGCATGAAGTGCAGTCGCGGTCTGGGGCTCTGTTCTCGGGCGGGTTCTATCGGTAGTTAAGCGGTTTATATGACCGATAACAACCTGTAAGTCCGTAAAGTCATATCGCGTTTGATGACTGCACGGCGTTGCTCGGCTCGGGCACGGCACGGCACGGCATGGCACCCCCGTAACGATGCGATGCTGCGGCGACTTTTATGGCGTCATATTTTTATGGGTTGCATGCAGCACCGATCACCCCCTGTGGATGACATTCCACTGGATGGATTCTCGATGTAATGATGGCCATATCTTTTATGAAATGCAAGCGACATTTTTGTGCGGAGGTCAATCATACAATGTTTGAGAGAACAAAGTATACCCAGAGTATGCGACTTTCCGACTTTCCGACTTGTGAAATTTCCAAATCGAATATTGTTTTCCAAAATTCTAAATTCAAAACAACTCGATAAAATTCCAACCAAATGGCCAATGTCGAGGATACACCGCCAGGTGCCGGAACCGAGGATACACCGCCAGTTGGCGGAACCGAAGATGCAGATGCGCCTGAGAAAAAAGATACAGATGCAGTGGAGGCACTGGAAACAGAAGAGGGGGAGACCTCAAAGGAAGCCGAAGAGCAGGCAGAAAACGATCCAAAGGACGGAGGAGAAAAGCAGGAGGACGTCGAAGAAGAAGATCCATTCGAGCACCTGGACTCGAACGGCGAGGACACGGAGGAAGAGCAATCCCTCTATAGAGAATACCTATCGTTAATCAAAGAAATCGATTGCCAGAATGGCATCATTCAGGACCTGAAGAACCGCTCGACCGAATTGAAGCAGAAGGCGTGCCGATCCAGGAGCGAGAGCCATGAATTACAGCGTCTACTGCTGTGCCAGGAACAGGAGAATATACGACTCCGTACTCTGATCAATCGAGCCGTGCAGCTGCAGAATTTCGGCTCCCGGCGGCTCTACGGGGAAGTGGAGCTGGAGATAACGGACTCCGAGCAGACGGTCTTCCTGGCTGGCGCTGAGCTTGCGAATATGCGATGTCCTAGCTATTCAAAGACTGCTTCGGTGGCAGGTTCCTGGCAATTGGATTCAGATTCGGACGATGATGGGTTTTGCAAGCCATAGACTTTGATTTGGAGAATAAATAAAGTTTTGTAGAGTTTTTTCATTTCAAATATGAAGAAAAGTCTTCGAAGAGTCGAAGCCAGAGACCAGAGAGACCAAAGACTTCTGGGTTCACACCATACCCATACCCATTCCAATTCCACCATTCCCCGTTTTCTAAATGAATTTTCGAATCAAAAATAGACAAAAGAACAGGAATATCCATGAAAATGTCATCATTCGTTCGCCAATTATTTCTGGATCCCCTCTTTTAAGTCCCTTCTTTGGCCAATCTGTTTCGGGGTGGGGGAAACCTTACTTAACCCCCAACTAAGTTTAGTATCCTGTTCTGCGCTTAGTATCTCAACTAAATGTCATCATTTGGCCATCAGTTGGTTGGCCAGAAAGCTTTCCGGTCGCAGGGGGACCCTCTTTCGCATCATTGCCAAGACATTTCACACTTCAGAGGAGAGTCCATGGCACCCTATACAGCCGTACCCAGACCCATACCATTGCCACCCATCAATTTGCTGCTCATCATCCACACGACGCAACGATGGGGCATGCCATGGAGGTGGTGGGGCAGCAGCTCATTGAGCAATTCATTCAATCGGCGAATTCAATAAAGTACAACTAATAAAAAGAATAAAGAAAAATCAAACTCTCGACAAATGGTGAATGGGGAGCGGGGAACGGGGAATGGGGAATGCGGAATGGTAATGGAAAATTGTGCAAGGAACAACGAGAGGCAGAGAGGGAGAAACAGAATTACAATTTTCTCGCCATTTGCTGTCTTATTTTCTTCTATCTCCTCCTATCATAATTCCAAAACAGCAGAGGGCGCGCGAAAGGGAGAGAGAGAGAGAGAGAGAGAGAGTGTGAAAGAAAATCCCGCGCATTTCGCGTGCCACCCCATCGCCAGAGAGTGCGGAGCGGCGTTAGTGGTCCATCAAATGCTTGTAAACAAAGCCAGAAAACGACAATGGGAATGACGAGAACGATGGGCCATTGGCCATTACATGGAACATGGATCGACGATGCGAAATGGGAATGAAACGGGTGGGGAAGCAGCGTAGCGCATTCCAAAAGGGTGGCAGAATCGAAGGGTATACGACGTGGCAGGGTCAGGTGCCGAAAAGAGAACACCACAACGATGCCACGTCACAATTCAAGGAGTGACCAAAACCCGAACCTAACCTCACCCCATGCACACGATATACCCTGCCTGTAAGCATGTCTCGGGGGAGAACGGAACCCGAAGTACAGTCGGAATGGCAGAATATATCCCAAATGGCGGGCGAAGTGCAGGCAATGGCAATGAGCACAAAAACAAAACGAATGTTTTTTTGCCCCCAGACAGAATGAGGGGATCAAAGCAAAACACGCAACACACACACACACACACACACAGACAGTAAGAGGAGCAAGCGAGACAGACAGACAGTCGTAGCGAAACGAAACGAAACGAAGGGGAGTCCGGGTCGTAGTCGTCGTCGTCTCGGGGAACAACAGTTGTTGCCGCTGGGGACTGGGACTGGGACTGGGGCTGGGACTGTGCTCCTGTTTCTCGTCTCTGCTTCGAGAACTGACTCTCGACGCCGCCGCTGCCGTTGCCGTTGCCGCTGTGCCACGCCCATTCACTGCTGGCGCATCATCACTTTTCTCTCTCTCTCTCTTTCTGTGTCTCTTCTGGCCTTCTCTTTGTCTCTGTTTGTAGTCTGGTCAACGTCAAAACAAAGTCAACTCTGGCTTGAAACAGCAATACCAAACAACAAAAAAAGGGAACGTTTTTGGCGCGAAAGAGGGGAATTATAGACGCAAAGAATACCCTAACTATAAGACATACATACATATGTGGTCTTAAGAACTATGTATGGATTTCCTGGGAATTCTGGAAAATTTATTATCTTTTTATTATAGAAGATTGAAGGACTCTCGTACAGGCCCTCTCATAAGGCTTTTCCAGGGAAAGCCTACAAGTTTCTGCCTTTCATTCGAGTCCATCGTACCCTTACAGAGGGTATGCAAAAGGGGAATGTTTTTGGCGCGCAAATCCAGAAAGCAAAAGAGGAAGAAGCGGCAGCGTCGACTGCGACGTCACCTTGCGTCCATTCAACCCGCAGACCGTCGCAGTCCCCCCACAGGGGAGTGGAGTGTACCCCAGACACAAAAAAAAATACGAAGCAACAGACAGACAGACAGAGAGAGAGAGAATAAGAGTGAACGGGAGAGGGAAGACAGAGAGTAAATTTCATTTAACTGCCGCTTCGATTCGATTCCATTCCATTTTCCATTTGGTTCTGTTTTTCGGGGTGGGGGGACCGTCTTCTTTCCCCCCACCTCACCCCCACCCACTTTTTGTACTGTCTGCGGCTTCAGGGGGGTTTTTTGTTGCTGTTGTTGTATGCGCCTGTGCGCCTTCCCACGTTTACTGCCCATCTCTTTTGCTCTTCTGTATAGCTCCGTCTCTCTCTCTCTCTTCTCTTCTGTATAGCTGCGTCTCTCTCCCTCTTTTGGTGTTCTGCATAGCCCCGTCTCTCTCTTTCGAGCCATGACATGTGCAAAAAAGCCCAAGCAGAAGAAGAAGAATTCTTTGTGGCGGCCACGGCCTCCGATCTACTAGTCGAGGCGTAATTATGGTTCTTCTCTGACGAGAACAGCGTCTCGAAGAATCAGAGTTCGATGCACCACCACACCATAAGCTGCCACACAACAAGAGGCAAGAATCAAGCAGAAGGGGCACAGAAAACACTGAAAAAAATAACAGGGGGGGACAGAAGGTGCAGAATCGCAAAAGCGTCTCGTGTTGATGGTTTTATATCTAACAGATGCCACCTTTTACATGTGGATGACTCTCTACTCTATAGAACGATCCAGCGATCCAACGATCCAGCGATCCACTGATCAGGATGCGGTCAGATGGGGATGGGAATGGGGATGGGGGTTCGGTTCTTATGTTGAATGGTGTGCTAGGAAGATCATCGAGAATGGGGGAATTCCTGCTTCTGCAGTGCCATAAAAATGGAATGCATTGACTTGAGTACTAGATGACTAAGAAGGTTGTTAACCCACAAATGAGTTCAAAGTTCTTTCACGGCGCAGAGAATGGGAATGGCGTAGCCGCCTTTATGGCTGTATATTAACCAAGAAGTACAGTCGATACAAAATGCTTTTGGTACCTTTTTATCGGTATTTAAGTCGAACAAAGAAATTCCTCAACCACAAGCAGGGATTTTCCCCGTTGAAGATGTTTTACTGGTTTCGAGGAAGGAGGATGGGTCGTGGGTGCTTAAAAGTGTCTAAAGATTAGTGATTCATAGATGCAAAGCCCATCTGGAATGGATGGGGAATGCTCAGAAGAGGACTTTAAAACGAGAAACACCTGTAGCCTGTCAACATTCCCCCAATCTGCGGAAATCTCTCAGCGAAGTACAGTCTCGTCGTTTAGCCGTGAACATTTATGGATTAGCCTGGTGTATGCCTGCTGTGAACTTTGACCTTTTGCGACCCCTTTCTCTCGCTCAACAAACAAACATGAGCAATAATGCCTCCTCCCCCACCGTCGAAAAAAGATTTGACACTCCCCATTTTCAGGAGTGAACGTGAATTGCGTATCGGTTTTTTTTCGCTTTTTCGCTCTTTCTGTTGTGTTTCGGTTTCGAGAAAAGTTTTCTAAATTAATTTCGCATAAAAAAGTACCCCCCCAAAAAAAAACAAAGAGCAACAGCCACAAAAGAGGCAGGCGCCATAAAATTTGATGTGCAACTGATGATGGGCGGGGAGAGGCTGGGGGGCGAGGCTCTTGGAGGATGTGGCCTCTGGATGAGACGACGACGCACCCACAAAGGTCACACAGAGCCGGAGACAGGGGTGGCGGGGGGAGAGGCATTCAGCATCATCGTCTGAGGGTCAAAGTTCAGAGACGCGTAAATTTTTGTACGCCGCTGGGGGACACACCGCGTGCTGTTTGTGTTGTTGGGGCAATCATGCCATTCCGTGGCTGTCGTCTGGAAAACTTCGCTCCTTCTGTCGGACAGAGGACAACAAATCATTTGGAGTGGAATATTGTCGTCGTCGTCTGGCGTTGTCTACGCACCCGAAAACACAGCAGTAATCGACAAGGACCGTCGACAGCTGCAGACGCGTTGCGAGAGTACTTTCCGTCGTTCTGCGATTACTCCGCATCTTAGAATCCCATCCTCCTGGTGGAGCTGGGGTTCCGTTTGAGACGCTGTTTCAGAGTTGAGTGCGTGACACGATATTTGGGCAATTATCGAAAGGTGTGAGGGCTGATTGGGATAACTAAATCGATTAGTCAGCGATAAACGAAGAATGTATATTAAAAATCAAAATGAAGCGATACTTCTGATTAAATTAATCGATAAACCAATCTGATATCGGTACCTTTAGCCTTCTTAATCTATACTTTTGGCTTCTTAGTCGATAAATCGAAGCACGAATCGATTAACCGATACGTTTTGAAGGCCTTAGAAGAGTGTTAGCCATTTTTTCCCCCCCCCCGAAATATCGAAAATCTGTAGTTAAAAATCGATTTAAACCATCAATACACCTATTTTTGTAATGAATCATGTTTGTTTTTTAGTTTTTGAATTATTTTCCATTCTTTTCCTTGGTTTCCTAATCATCTCTAATGCCCAAAACATCTAGACCATCTCCTCCTTTCGCTTGGCGTAAACTTTTCCTTTCTTTACGAAAAAAAGAAGATTTTTTCGGTTTCGACTTGTCTGCGTCTTTGTCTTCGTCTTTGTCTTCGTCTTCGTCTTGGTCTTCTGTCTTTTGTCCGTCTCTCTGTGCTTCTGTCTGTTGTCCTTTGGTCTCTCTCGGTCGTCTGTGCCTCTGTGTGCCTCTTCTGTTGTCTGTCCCTTGGTCTTTGTTTGTTTTGTCTGCCCCTCTGATTTGGCGCGCATATGTTGCTTGCTTGGTGGCTGGCTGCTGGCTGCTGCTGCCATTTCGGATTTCTTGGGATTTTTTATTTATCTAAAATAGCTGGAGAGTAGAGT